ATTTTTCGCTATCAATAGGATTTGAATACCCAACCTACTACTTGGAGGGTTGACAACCTGATTACTTCACTAGATTACCACATCCTTATTTCTTATTGTATTTTAAATAAACAATATTTATAGTTAGATTGCAAATATGATAACTAGTATAAGACTTATATAGGTAAACTACTTAAATTAGATACCAAAAATGTACATATAACTAATTGTATTTTCTAATATAAAAATGATTTTTTTGAGACTTTGTTATAAGTTCTTATAATCTATAATACTGTATAAAAATCTTAGTTTCTAAAAGACTAGTTTAATATAAAAAAATTTACTAATTTTTTATATAATAAACTAATTTAAATAGGTAATTTTTTTGTGACCTAGTGAAGTGGTCAGGTTGTCAATCTCCAAGTGACAGGTCCAAAGTTCAAATTTCAGTGTTAATGGAAAATTTAAAATTCCTCTTTGTATTACAGTTAACTGTCTCTTGCAATCAGTTAAAATAAGATACCTGTTATCTGTTTTGTACCAATATGACTGGGAGGTCACATGATATTTGTGTAACAGTTATATAACATTGTCCTTTGGAACAAGGTCTGTGATTATTTAAAGAAATACAAACTGATATCAGATAATACAAATCTACAATAAGTTCTCATGATTATGTAAATCATAGAAACCAAAAAAAGAAAGATAAAAGTCCATTTGGAAGACCTGAGTAGAGAGATAACCTAAACTTTTGATAATGCTACTGTAAAAATTAGACCTATAAAATGAAGCTAGAACTTATAAAATCAAGTAAAGAGCCAGTCTTTAAAGAGGGACTGAATAGAACCAACTAGGCCACCAAATCTATTCTGAAGAAAAAGATTATATGCTAGCAAACATGTAAATTAAAGGTGTATAGTTATGATCTGCCTTTCTAGACTATCTAGTTTGAGAGCTTAATAGAACATGAATTGAATACCAAAGTAGTAGAGATATATTATGAAACTAGTATCAGGATTAAGGTAAACTCTACAAAAGCATAATGGTTTAATAGTACATCCTGACTACTAATATTGGTCTTAAGCATAGTGATACCAGGTTAACTATAAGAATGGAATACAGAAGATTCTGAAAAGTTTAGTATAAAGTTAAAGATTCTCTATGTAAGTGAACTGCTTTAAAGACTTAATGACTATGGTATATTTTTATTGATATTAGACAGAGTTATTAGTAGGCAAAAGTAGATAGATGGATATGAAAACTAGAGTAATTAAATAGAAAACCTACAAGCAGATTCCAGGTATAATAGCTAGTATAGAACCTTTGGGTAGATTACTTAAATTAGACAATGATTAAAGTTATATAAGTGATTAGTTGTATACTCTTTTTATAATTGCCCTCTATGGTTGTAATACAACCATTAGCCAAATATACTATCAATAAAATCTTGGGTCACAAGTACTTATCTTAATGTTTAAAAAAAAAAAAAAATAGGTAATTTTTTTTATTATAATTTTTTTTAAAATAATAATTATAACAAGTTTATATACTAAAGTCAGTGTTGTTATATTTACTATGTCCAAGATTTTTTTAACCATATCCAATATTCAAATGTCCAAATGTTCAAGAATATCCACAGCATATACAAGCTTTAAAAATTAATATATTAATTTAAAAAATATATAATTATATATTTTTTATAGTGCTAAATATTTTTATTTAGAAAGTTAAAAAGGGTAATTTAATAAAATTTTGAGCAAATTTAATTTATTATTTGTTCAGAAATGTCCAAAAGTGTTCAAACTTATGTCCACAACTGTCCCATGACAACACTAACTAAAGTTACATTAAAATACTTGCATAATAACACAAAGAATACTTAACTGTGATTGGTTAATTTATAAATATATCAAAAAAAGTTTAATTTTTTAAAAATAATCAACCAATTTTGAGCTTTTTTTAAACAATATGTAATCAAAATTAATTTAATTTTTTTTTTATAGATATGTTCTATAAATCCTTAAATATTAAATATATTTATTTGATTACAAGTTAATATGTAAAATTTGTGTAATTACATTTTAATTGAAATGTATTAAGTTGATGTATCATGCTTAATGAGACGACCAATATATTTTAATTGACAAAATAATAAAATTTAATATACAGTAAAAATTTTCAAATTTTCGTTCAAATTTTGTTCAAAACTTTACACATATGGAAATTTGAATATTATATCAAAATTTTAAATTTTGAAATTGAATACCGAAATTTGGAATTTTTGCTTCCAATTTTTTTGATCGCGACGCATTAATCTCAAAAAAAAGCAATCAAGAATAAAAATTACGTGAAAACTTCATAATTAACAAATATTATTTCTTTATACTCAATAATCTATTACTGGTAAAACTCTTTAATATTAATTAGTTTTATTTCAATAATTAATTTACGGTCCAGTTTTGGTGGCTCAGAAGTCCGATAAGGCCCCAGGTAATTGCTGCTTTAGTCACCATTCCTTTTAGAAGATTTTCGTTCGGTAAACTTCATTTCTTTAGCTAAATCTGGATATTCGTTTCTAACCCATTCAATAATTTCATATTCATACCTACTTTTTTTTGGTACATCATGTAAAAAGTTTAATAAAGATCTTATCGTTTTTGTTTCGGGCTTAAATCCGTTATTCTTCAATTCATTCATTAAGACATTTTTAGCTTCATCAAATAATTGATTACGAGCTAATGCTTCAATATATGAATGATAATTATTAAGATTTAAAGGAAATTTCTTGTCTTGAAGATATTTCCAAATATTTAAAATTCTATAAACAACTCTTCCATAACCACACGAATCTAGAATTATCGATACTGTAGAATTATCAATTGGTAGCTCGCCAATTATTAATAAATCCCAAATCAAAAGAACTTGGTGTATATGACCACATCTATTATAAGCGTCCATTAAAGAATTGTAAATCCCTATATCTAATTCAACATTAATATCCATTCTAACTAAATTATGTACATTTCTTACACCATCATAATTGTATGCTTGTCCTAGTCCAGTTATAAGGGATGTATAAGTGATTACATTAGGTTTTATCTTTGATCTTCGCATTTCGACAAAGATTCTTAGTGCTTCAGCTGTTCGTCTCATTTTAACGAAAGTGTCTAACATGGTTGTGTATGCTTGAGTATCTAGCTGGATTCCTGATTGTTTAACTTCGTAATAAAATTGTATTGCTTCTTCGGCTTTATCGGCTTGAATAATTGCTTTTATCATATTGGTGAATGTGATGACATCTATCATCCCCCCTTGATTGATGAGTGCATTGTATATCTCAAATGCCCCGTTAATATCAGGTTTTTTAGCATAAGCATTAATAAGATCGTTATATATTTTGTGATCTATATTTATTTTATTATCAACTATCCCTTGCAAGAAGATTTTAGTTAACTTTAGATCACCCTTAAAATTTTGAAAAAGTTTATAGAAAATCCGAGATTTATGTTCAATTGACTCTTCCATTGAAATCATCTTTCGTAATAATTCTAACGCTTGGTTTGTTTTTCCTGATATTACTTGTGCAGGTATGACAATAGAAAAAGTAACCGAATTTGGCTGTATTCCTTTATCTAACATCTGCTGATAAAGTCCCGAAACTTTGTTTGTATCACCTTCTTTAATCCACATTTCCATCAATATATTGAATGTGGCGATATTAGGTTCAATGTCATTACGTATTACTTCCTCATATAAATCTACAACCTTTTTCGAATGTTCATTTGAACGCAAGTTCGTTCTCATTAGCTCGTTATAGGCTACAATATCTAATTTCGCACCGTTCTTTGTAATAGTATTTACCAATCTCTGTCGTATTGAAAAAATAAAACCATTTCGAATAGTGACTGCTCTTTTCTGTGATGATAAAACTAGGTAATGTGTAAAAAACTTTAACATCTTTTTAGTGAATAGTAAATTGATTATCAGAAAAATTCAATACTTGTGTCATGTTATCACGTGATAATTTTGCATCTTTTGAAGACGGACAAGCTACGGACAGTTCTTAGGGACAGTTTAAATCACGTGAATAGTTGTTAGGGACAGTTAAGGTTTAGTGGTTTTAGCAATATCACGTGAATTTGACTGTACATACTGTCTGCGTTTTGAAGAGTGCGAATTATGCAAATTAGGGTATGAATATCACTACGTAGTCCAAATATTCGAGAAAAAAGGTTAATTTCACCATTATTGCCATCAATCCTTTAAATATTAACTAATTCAAAAATAAAATAAAAATCAATATTGACATTTTACAATCCTTACCAGTGACGTTACTTGATCAATTTGCGGAGAGTCTATGGACAGTTCTTAGGGACAGTGAGATTCACGTGATATTACTAAAACCACTAACCCTAACTAACTATCCACGTGACTTGAACTGTCCGTAAGAACTGTCCGTAAGAACTGTCCTTAAGTCCGATAGTTTTTTATTAGTCCTATCCTTTGTCTAGTTAGCTTAGTCTTAAGTCCCAATTAGCCTTAAATTAATGCCATATGTCCAAAATAATTTTGGACTTATGTCCAATTAGCCGAACAACACTTATTTCTTATACGTACGTAGTATAATTGTCAATTTTATGTAATTATGGAGGGTCTAACTATATTAAATTTAATTGAGTACGTACGTATAACAAACTATTAAATAGTAAATTTCTGTAAAGATCTCTTTTTTTGACTATGATTCCCTAAAAATGGTTATATAATTGTCATTATGTATGTACGTATAACGATAACTAATATGTATAAGGTGTCACATTACGTAGATTCGAAAAAGATCTTGTACGTACGTATTCTGCAAATTATTAAAATTATTTGTTTGATAATTAAAAATAGCAACTAATTAACTCTATGTACAACAGGAAACAACCAGAATGGATGTAGTGTAGATTTTGCAAGTCATAATTTATTCTTTGAATATACAAGTAATTAAGCAAGGATTGTATGTTCGAGACAAAGATATAATGACACAACGAGAAGTCATAAAGCGTCAGGAAATAGAAACTACATCGCTTACAGGAACCACCTCCTTTCCTACCTCACGAGAAGCTATCACCACGCGAGCAAATCTAACAGCCTTAAATGCAATACAGACGAATATTGTACCAATTCCAGTAGCTGTAAACTCGGCGCCTCCAGTAATAATTACTCCATATGTAACCGTGACTGTTCCAGTCTTTACAGATAGGATAATAACAACAACACCTTCTGTTTCCAATACCCCAGATTCAAGTTCTCCGCAAGCAATTATACTTGCAGCATCTGTTTTGAGTTCAGTTGGAATAATAACGATCTTAGGCATTATAGTTTTATGTTGGTTCAGAAGAGGAGAAAAAAGAAAATTTGAAAGGGATGAAGTATCTCAAATACATGATGATGAAGTTATACTAAGAAGAAGTAGAAGGGATAATTTTGACGGATCAGTTGATCAAAGCGATGATTTCGTAACCTATAGACCAAGAGATCCTGATGATGAACAATTGCCTAGTTACGCTGAAGCTGTTGTAAGAGGAAGAGCAAGCTTACAAGGACAATATTAAAAAAAGAAAAAAAGGCCAAACGGCTTATATTGACATTATTGTCATTTTATATTATTAGAACTTCCATAGATCTATTTAATAGTAATGAGTCTTTATTTTTAAACAGAAAAGAGCAAAAAAAAAAAAAAATAGAATTCATTTTGATACCGTTTGAGATAAGGCTTAAGTGAGTACATTAGTCTTTTTTTTTTCTAAGTTCGTTTTAAGGTACTACTTATTTATCTTTGATGATTTTTTGTCAAATACAGATACCAGATTGAGACATTCAATGCAGTAAAAAAAAACTCGTTGAAATTTGTTGTTTCAACTAGTCTCTACTATTAAGATTACTACCCACTCATTTCATTACAACACATTACAATACCATTCTTAATCGAGACCTTAATTTGATAACCCATTATGAATAAGATTTATTATTCAACATCCCTATTACAAATCCTTTTTATCATATATTTATTTAAAAGACTATCAAATAATTCTTAATATTTTAGAATTCAAACGACTTCTATTTTTGATATATAAACAATTAAAATTATTTGTAAATTAATATTTTAGTGTAGGATCTTTACACATCCATAAAGCTGGTCTTTTGTTAATAACTAAAATTAAAATTACTTTCGAAAATAAAAAGACACTTAGTCGGAATTTTTATCAACTACCTTTGGTGTTGATAAGGGCAGACCTACCGAATTAATTGCAATTTTGGGTGTGATAAATCATTTGCGTGACGAATAAAGATTAAATAATATAATAATTAGTAAATACTTATTTGTCACATAAAATGGTTCATCACCCCATATGGCTAATGGCCAAAGTAAAAAAAAAACATTGCGGGACTTAAATCTTAATCACGTGACTCGTTCGCAATTATTTCTCGACCCATTGTTAAACAACAGGTAACGTAATTCACGTGACGCGAGACGGATTGAACATCCAAGTTTTTATAATATATATTAACTTGCCTGATTTAAATATATCTGGAAAAATTAAGGGATAATTTGAGCTTGAAGCATTGCCCAAAAGCATATCTGACATCGAAATTTATTAAACGAGTAAACATTACTTTTTGAAATTTAACAGCACCATTTCCTATTATAAGAACGTGTAAATTCAACACTTAAAATTGATTATAATTTGTAGGCGTAATGTTTGATTACGCAAATTGATGAATTTTCTTATAGTCACGCCTTTAAATCAAGCGAACAAAATAAATTCGTTTATTAATCAAATTTCATAAACCAATAAAATGTCTAATGTAAACCAGATTAAAATTGAATTAGAATAGAATATTTGTCCGGGTCTAATACTACTATTAACTAATGTAAACTATTAAGAATTTATTCTGTTATAATTCTTTTGGTTGGTTGAATAGATCGAATAGAACAGTTCAGTTACTGATCACCGAGTTATACACTAGCCCTGATTTTAGATCCCCATCTTCTGCCCATTTTGTTTGGCTAACCCTAACGTCAATTTTGTCCTAAAAAAATGTTAAAATAGTACTAAATGCCTTAAACGAAAATTTGCCATAAACTTAAAAAAATAAAATACCTGCACGTAGAACATTCTTCTAACGGTTTACAGAATACTTTATACAATACCAATGGTCAAGGAAAATATCTTGTTTTGTACACATTCAACTGGAATAAAGTCAAATTAAGGATACTTGACAAACAAACTGAGCATACATATCCTACGTCAATAATCTTTTTGTGACAGAAACAAGCTGCCCCAAAATCCACTTTTTCCTCCCCTGGCAAACAAAGGTATTTTTTGTTGTACCGATCAGGTAGAAACGCAATCTAATATATTACATATAAACATTAAATCAAAGCTTGTATTTATTACCAGTTTAATTAAATTGAACATACCATTAAGAATTGTAATAATCCTTGGGCTTTGTCAAGCTTCAGATACTTTCCACCAGTTATATGCGATGCTTGTTGCAAGAATACCGGTGTGTCTTTTCCGTAGACTTTGCAAACATCAATGGGAATGCACTAATCATTTCAAAGAAAGTCAATGATAGTAACCAAATTAGTATCGCCAAATGAAGCATAGAAATTTTATCGTCATTTCATTTGGCTCAAATTCGATAACAAACATGATATTTGTGATAAAAGACTAACCAACTTTTGTGCAGAAAAAATGCAGTTCATTATAGATATGTACTGATAAGGAGAATCTGGGGACACTGATATGATCAGTATACGAGATTTTACATGACCGACTTCATCAGCTTTTGTAATACGATTAATGTCTATCAACGATGGTCAAGGATAAAGATATCAACATAATCATATACCGTTTAATACTGCTTGTAATACTCCCATAAAATAATATCACCCATAATTAAGTTCCAGTTATTATTTTTCACCATATCTGTCATCCTAATTCTGGAGTAATATTCAGAGTACAGTTGCATTAGTACCTCCGGGCATTAACCAGATTAAAAAAATATGAAGGGTTGAATAAAATTCTGGGTACTATAAGCGGTACTAAACGGCATATTTGTTGTTTTGTAAATTGCGAGATGAATTAAGCCAATAAATCAAGCAGTAAGGATACAACATAATGCCATCGATAGTGCTCCCGCGATCATGGAACTTGCTGTTTCATATGATAAAGGTTCAGAAATTATTTTAATGATAACATTCTAATATACAAAGTTACCAAACCTTTATCAGGACAATTATCTGGTATATCAGCATCTTCGAATAATGCACAAATGTTTGCTATTACTTTTTCATCAATCACCCGAAACTTTTGGTACATATTAGGAAAGATCGTTTTATCAGAATTTTCAGATGTCGGTATTGGATATAGGAATTTACTACAATTTGTCAGTTAGAAACCATCGAGAAGAATGTTAAATGTGAATTGATGTTACTGATCAGATATATTTTTAGTTACCCATACCTGACACCAATATGACTTGCAATGATTGCAACATCGTTATCATGTTTTAGAGCTAAATGAGCGTTGATGAACACCAAAAGGTGGCGTAAAGCCTCTTTCAACGGCAAAACTGACTGCGACTGCTTCCATACCAACGGATTGGTATCAATTATCAACACGAGAAGGTTGGCATCCTCTGGTTAGAAAAATGGGAATGAATATCAGGTTTACGTGATAGTCTAGTAAAGAGTGACTTGGAATGTTACCGTCAACCTTCATTTACGGTCGCGGTATCCTTCAAGACACTCATGACGCTATAATGGGTGTCGAAAATATTTTACTCTTGGCGAAAATGATTTTTGTAAATAATTTAGCACGTATCTGTACGTATCATTAGGGTGATCATCAAACTAATAAAATCAAACATATTTGGGGTCGCATATGATAATTTTTTTTTATGAAAATCCGAAATTACTGCGGATAATAGTAACTTTCGGTACAGTTTTCTTTCGAACTGGTATAATAGTTACTAATTTAATTTTTTTTAAAAGATAGTGCACTTCGTATAATTTAATGTAATAGAGGCAATTTTTCGATTTAATCTGTTTTATAACTAGTAAATTCTTTAACAATTTGAATATGCTTTAACCGAATTTGGCGAACATAAAGCTATTGAAATTTGTAAAACTGAGTCTATTGTTGAAAAGAGCATAATAAAAGCTATCGATTAAAAAAAAAAAATGATATAATAAAATTATATCTTTCGCTCAAAAAGTGTACCTATATTCGTTGTTTTAAAAAAATTTTACTAAAGTGCAAATTAAAACAATGCCGCGTATTAATACAAAATCTAAACAACGGCTGCACCTAAAAGATGCACGAAAAAAAAGTCAATTGACAAAAAAAAAGGTTGTAAATATCGTTGAGGCTAGTCATAATGATAGCAATAGTAGCGATATATTATCAAATTTAGTAACGACCACATCACCAAGCCCACATATAGAATCATCAAGCCCACATATAGAGTCATTGAGCCCACATATAGAATCACATATAGAATCGTCAAGTCTGCATATAGAAGTTGATATTCATCAACAAAAAATTGACGAACTTGTAAAGTGTGCAATTGATTTGCCAAATTCAATTCTTGTAACATTTATAACTATAATTAAAAAAATCACTCAAGATCAATTGCATCAATCTCAATATTTAGAAAAATGGAATAATTTATTAAATGTTATTAAAAATATGGATAATGATGAGTTAAGTCTTGGTGTTTCATTATTAAATATTATGAGATATAGGAACGGGCCTAAAGCTGGCAAAATTTTTTCAAAATATTTGCAGCAAAAAGCTTATAATTTAATATATTGTAGTAAACATGTCAAATCTAAAAGATCATTTGTTCAGAAACTTAATCATTTGCAAAGAAATAATAAATTCTTACATGGTAAAATCGGAAAATATAAACAAATACATAAAAAAAAAATTTCACAAATCCGTTCTGCAGCTCGTAAAACACCTATGATAATGAATAAGCAATTAAAATCAGTTATTAAAGATCAACTTATGATGAATAAAAAGCAGTATAGTGCTAAAATGGTTTTTATGGCAACACAAGTTTGTGAAATTGGAGAGATGTCATATCGATCTGCTGTTAGTTGTACAAAAAAAGTAATAGAGTGGCTAATTGACGAGGAACCAGATAAATGGTTTTCTGTTAGCACACTTGTCGGATGGTATCAAGACGTATCCAATATTCACATAATTCAACAATGTGCTATTGTTAAAGCTTCCAAATGGTTTACTTTTGGAATTATGGCAGATGAATCAACGCGTGGTGATAATAAAGTTTTCGTTATTTGTTTTATGTACTAGGATCTAATTAATAACGAACTAAAAGTTACTTTATTAGAACTTGAAAATTTAGCTCAATGTACTGGAGCATTAATTGCACATACAGTTATTAAATCATGTAATCAGCATCAGTTAGATCTGACTAAGTGCTTAACTTGGATGACTGATAATACAGCATATATGTCAGGTCATAAAAATGGTGCTGTAACACTATTTAATAAGGAAATTAATTCAAGATCATTTCGAATTTCTTGTGAACTTCATGCGCCACATATAATGATGATCAATTTTGAAAATATTGTATTTTGAAAATTAAAAGTTGAGAAAGGATTTTCTACTCAAAAACATCCTTTTAATTTCCTTTACCTTATTTGGAAATTGCATAACGGCTATGATGAAAGTAATAAGGATAACCCAATAAATATGAAATCATCATATATATTCGATTTATATTTTAAGCTTTTTGGTATTCATTCAACTAAGTTTCAAAAACCTTTACGCCAATGGTGGTTATATAAGTTACAAGCAACAAGGCAATTAATAGAAAGAAGAGAATATATAGAAAAATTTATTTCTTGGATCTTAAATAAATTAAAATTACAAAAAAAAGTACCTAAATCATATATAGAAAAATGGGAACTCCTTCAGCAGTAGCTTACAGATCCAGATTTAAAAATACAAATTGAATGTCTTGTAAAATTTGAAGATCAAATTTACGAGCCAATTATGAATTTTCTTATTGGATCTAACAAAAAACTACGAATTCTTCAATCTAATAGGCAACTATTACTACTTTCATCTGGTTAACGATCCCATGAAATGTCAGATGCTGTTCTTAAATGGTTGGGAACTTTATATAGAATTAAAGATAATCTCAGTTTATTTTTTTATATAGAATTATGGAATGCTATTGATATTTTAGATGATGAGAGTTTTGAAATTTTTTTTAATAATTTAATACTTGGTATTAATAAGGCTACGGATTCTTTAGAAACTTGGATGGGTATGTGGCTTTACCTTCTATTAAGTATTTGCCAATTAGGTGGCAACTATGACCATGAATTTGCTAGAAGCTATTTGCATATAAAATTTAAAAGATGATGGGTTCAAGTTCCTAGTCTTAAAGAGTTGTGTTATACAACTCTTTTAGAATCTAATATCAAACAGTTTAATTTTGACGATTTTGGTTTGTCATAAGCAATAGAAGATCCATTATTTTTAAAAGAGGTATTAGATTTTGCTAACTCTGATAAATTACCAATTCATACGTTTTCTTTACTATACGAATTTGTCAAATGTCAAATTTATTATATCATTATTCATCAGCAGCAGGTCAAGGGTTTATTTAATAAGTATGACCTCAAGTATCATACGAACATGAATATCAAAACTAAAGAAGCAAAACTACACCTTTCAGGAGTTAAACAAATATCTATATCGGATGAAGAATTAGTAGTTCAAAGAAAAAATAGAAAGAGAAAATTAAATGAAAAGAGTAATGAGAAACAGGAAATGTTTGGTGAAATAGAAGCAGGAAAATTGTTCAATAATTTGTTCACTAAATAAAGAAAACAATTTTGCGAAAGTAAATTTTCTGAAATTTCTGAAATTACTAAAATGCTGACAAAAAATCCTCACTAATAAATAATATATGTAACCCCAATTATGGTTTGATTTACCGATTTGATGAAAACCCTAATGTATCATGGATACATAGACAGAAGTTTGTTTGATTGGTTAATTTTTATAGATCTACCTGTGATTTTCCATGATTATTAACCAATCAAATTGCACAATTTGTAAAAATTTTATCGTTTAATATTGTTAATATCGAAAATAAAAAAAATGCAAAGAAGTTTACAAACTAATAAATACACACAAAAGAATTTATTACATATGTTTAGAGAATAGATAGATACGCGTAGAATGAGACAAATATGATATTTATTACTATGTAGTAAACCTAAAATCATTGAAGAATCTGCAATATACAATATAATCTAAAAATTTTATAATTAACAATCCCAAACCTACTAAAAGAGCGAACCAAACTTAAACATTAAACCTGGATCTTTTTATCATTAAAGAACTAACTTGTACCTATTCAAATTAAACAAAATTTATTTAATATAACATAATAAAATTTTTAAACAAAAATATTTATAGTCACCTCTTGCAAGAACTAATAGATGAGATATATTTTATTATATTTTGCCTTTTAAGCAAAGCTCATCAGAAGTGAGATCTTTCTGCATAGTGAATATTGAAAGTACTTTGAAGCTACAAATAGATCTTGGAATGATTTTTATTAGTGCTGTATTAAGATGTTCTGTTTTGAAAAAGTACTTTAAAACTAACTTTAAGCTTTTTTCTTTACTCATTTTAAAAAAAGTCGTTACTAAGCTAATGCCTCTTGAATTTTAGATTATAAAAGATTATTTTTAAAGGTGGTTTTCCAGCACTCAAATGAAGTAATATATGTAAAAAAAGTTTCTTTTTTATCTGTAAAACGTTATGTTCTTAAAAAGTACTTTAAAGTGTATAAATAAGTTACCTGGGCAATTAATTTGCATCAGCCAATCAAACAAACTTCTGCCTATGTTATGAAACTGCCTTCTGCATTTTAATAAAAAAATTTCTCGTATAAGCTATGCTTTTCCTTATCCTTAATCCTATTACTCCACTTAATTCGATTGTTTTGATTTCACATTACACCTGATCCTTAGATCTAATTTGCCAACAATCATGTGCCATGAAATTTTTTGAATATAAATCTTCATGGTTCTTAATTACGTAACTGTTTGTTTTTTGTTTTTTTTTATGTTTTTGTCAGAGTTATTAGAGTCTTAAAGAATTCAAACTTTGTTAAGAGTTTTGACCTTCATCAGGAGTTTGTTTTTACTGGAATTTTGTCTTTCAATTTTTATATTTTATTTTTGAATAAAGAAGTTTTTATAATATTTGGTAAGTTTGATCATTTTAAAAGCATCAATTGTCTTTTTCATTGAATATTTTTTTAGAAGCAAGAAAGTTTAGATTTGTAGTAAATGAAATTAAATCTAACAAGCTAAGCTTGAAAACCTATGTAAATTCTGCTTGGTTTTTTAAAAATATTTATTGTTTAAAATTAATACTTGTTTAGAATTATGACAAAGTAATTTGTTATAACTTAGTAGTTTGGAGTTTAAATTATGCTCTAAGCATCCTTTTAAACTCTACAAAGTTTAAACTATACTTAAAACATTCTTTTGTATTATCTACTTTTACTAAACTTATTTTGATAACTTATGTTTTTTTTTGTTTTTTTTATATTTAAGCTTTGTTGAAAACAAAATTGTCTTTGTAAATTTAGACAAGATAAAAAATTTGCTAATTTTAGTAGCAGTTTCAAGTATATAAAATAATATTGTAATAATTATATTGTAACTATTAGTCATAAGATATTTTAATAAAAAATTATATTAAATATATTTATATTAGATTAAAATATATAAAAAATATAAAATTTAACTATTTACTTTATTTTATTTTTTTTTTTTAGTTTGGTGATAATGCTAATTGGTTTATTAGCTTTAATTTAATATAATATAATTTACAATTACATTTTTAGAATCAGTTATTACTAGTACTATATACTATTTAATTTTATACAACTAACTTTATTTGGTTACCTATATAGTATCTAAATGTATGTTCATTGCATGTTTGCACACAGTTATCTTAACAACCACTTGTGGTTAGGGCATATCATTAAACTATTATACAGACAAAGATATCTACCAAACTTAATACAGTATCCCAAATACCAAGAATACTGTCTTCTGTAAATCATATTTATATATCCTACTTACATATTTTATCTGGTCTTGTTTCTTCTGCCTCTTAATTTAACTATATCTAGTATTATCTTATTCTCCACATTTTTCATCTTTTTATCACTATACTATTTCCAAATTGGTCCTATTCAGGTATATTTGATTCTTATAATCTTCTTATCTTTGGTATATCTGTAATTGATTCCACTAAGATGTTCTAATAATAGTTTAGGATCTGCAAAAAACTATATCTTAAGTCAGATCTGCTATTGTCATTGGTCTTTTTAACCAATCTGTATCTTAAGTCAGATTTGCTGCTATCATTTCTGCAGATGCCACAGGTCTTAATATCATATAGTAACTTGATGCTATATTTAATTTCCAATATGATGCTTTCTTCTATAATAGGACTAAAACTTATTGTAATTACAAATAAAACAATTCTGGTTATATCTAGAGAGTTCATCTGATTCTAGTGATACTATACTACCATATATTGCAAGCTTTTAACTTATTCAATAATATCTGCAGAACAATTCTGGTTATGCTTCAGGAAGTTATACTAACCCTAGTGATGCTATATTACCTTGTAGATTTTATCTTATATTGGTTGGTTAATCCCAATCTTGTTTGTTATAGACTTTATATAAGTATGACCAGAAATCCAATTTGGTACTTTTATATTATACAAAGAAGTTATAAGCTAATCTCCAAGATTTTTTCTTTCTATAATTAGATTATTTGACTATGTTAGAAATGCTTCTAATTTTTGATTAGACCAATTCTTTATCACAGTCTGTCCTCATGTTCACTACTTTTCTTACTATTTTAGTCTTAGTTATTTTCAAAATACTCTTCCAATCAAATTCTTTTCTTGAATTCTAATTAAAACTTATTTGCACAATCTGTTAATTATCCTTCTAAGCAAGTATTCTACAAGTTGAATATGTGATATTGATATTGTTTATATTAGAAGGTATAAGAATGTTGATGCTATCCTAGCCTAAATGACTTACATGTGCAATCTTTCTATAATCATAACCTTTTGTAACAATTGCTTGTTATGCATAGTGCCTACATTTCACAATTGGGTCTCTTTCTGGGAATTCCTATTTCCATTATTGTACTATACTTAGACTTTACTACAGGGCTTCACATTCAATTAAAGGCTTTTTATTAGATTACAGAAGTAAAAATTTTTTAATTTTGTCTTTAGCTAGACTTGAACTGTTGACCTTGAGTATAAAAGGTATGAGAGCTTAATCACTAAACTATAAGATCTATACCTCTTTATTTACTTTATTATAAAGATATTTTTTTTATTATTATTATACTATTAAATACAAATTACATTGTACAGAATATAAATGATTTAACTGTTTATAATATTTATTACTCATTTAATTATATTGATATAATATAAATAAATGATTAAATGCAGTTAAATAAATAACAGTTTCAATTTATATTAAAAATAAAGATATTATTTGTATATACAAACAAGTGAGATGCTTGTCTATGTACTGAAAGTTTTTGTTTCAATCAATATGACTAATCAGATTTTTGAAATCAGTATGATTTCATGTTGGTAGCAGAGATCAGAACCAGTTAATAAAATTTGGATTAACTTAAACAGTTATTTGTCTTATAGCAATCTACATCATATGCCTAGTAATATGTTATTTATATATTAATCAAATTTTTTTTTTATATAAGCATATCTAGTGATTTGACTAACTGGTATAAATGATGGTATATAGTAAATTAGTACAATATGATAATGCAAATAAGGATAGACATGAGAAAATCATAATAATATATACAATTTATAAAAAAAAAAAAAATTCTTTGAAAAAGTTAATTTTTCTATAACCTCATATGAAAAAAGAATAATATTTGTACTTGCCCTAATCTTAAACATAAAAAATGATTTACTTATAAAGGATTGAGTTTTCTCTTTCATTCAGCATAAAGATATGATAAATCATTCATGTGACAAGCAAGCATTAGCTAAATAATTAATTAATATTTATTAGTCACATCTAATAATCTGTCACATCCTTGTGCCAAACAGATAATGGACTTGTAAATTAATTTTATGAACCTATGTTAATCATACACTATTAAAATTTTACTAAATCTTTGTAAGTCCATACATATATTTATATAATCATACAGATCAGCAAAAATTTATGTATAATACCTACAATTAGAAATAAACTACTGTACAATTTGCAGAATTATATAACCTGATCAAATTATATTAGCTAACTACAATTATGCTAACTAACCTGGATTCTAAAAGTCATACTACGCAATCATTCAAAAATTCTACCACATACAGTACATAATGTATTGTATATATAACACATCATTACACATACACAATAGTGCAATGACCTATATATTTACTAGATGCAATACCAATACTCTAAGTCTTCTGTTCCTGGTTTCACGTGACAACATTGCGCAGCTATTTTATTATTATTTGTAAACGTATAAGGTAAATAATGACAAAAGTTTGAACAAATTATTTTTCATTTTCGGTTTATTCATGCAAATCACAAAAAAAAAAAAAAAATATATATATATATTAATTTTTATCTCGTTTTATTACAGTTGTGTTACCTAATACTCTTTTTTTTATTTAAACGACCCTTAATTGACAAGCGAAAAAATTTTGAGCACAATTTGAGCATGCACATCGCCTCGAAAAATGCTGTTCATACGCAATCACAAGCACTTAACTAGCGCTAAAAAACTAGCACTAAAGATATAGGGTACGTTTGAAATTTGTGAAACTCAAAAATACCAAAAAAAGCAGATTTTAAAGAAGATCAATTACTTTTGAGCGTTAAATTAATGTTTTCATCAATAGCCTAAAAATAGAAAAAAAAGGTTAGAACGATCGACAAATAATGGAAAAGAAACAGGAAATGTACCTTCGCTTCAAAAGAATGCTCTTTATCATCTTGAAACCATTTAAGTGCAACTTTCAGTTTATTGGTTCTTTCAGTCAAATCCTAAAACATGTAATTTTTTAGAGAATGCAAGAGATACGACCAAATAATTATTTATAATGCCTACCTTTTTTTTATAACTTTCTAACATTGCTATACTAGCAATTTCTACTCTCCTATCATCCTAATAATAAAAATCATTTAAAAGTTTCAAGTCTTGCTGTTTGCAATATACTTCTAGTAAACTACAAGCCATAGGTTTATTATTGATGATCCTGAAAAATTCAGGAAGTGGAAGCTTTCTTTTGAAATGAAGCATTACTAAATAAACTATTAAATAATAAAGTAAAATATGATTGTTAGTTAACCGTTTTTGAATTGTAATTTATTTTGATTCTTACCTAAATCAGTATCACCGCTTTCAATCGCTTTTATTAACGCCAATTCATCTTCTTGCATGCTTATAAGAAGAGGCACCTGATCAGCTGCACGTGGCTCATAATCGAGTAGCTAAAAAAAATGTATATTTTACTTTCAGCAATTCAGAAGATAACGGCTATAATAAATAGATAACATACTCTTGTTGCTAATTTTGGTTGCCCAACTTTGTGTGCGGTTTTTGCAGTTTCAGCATAAGAAAGGCCGGGTTTGTTTGCTAGTTTTTCTACAATCATTCGACAAATAGTTTCCTCGTCATCTGTAGATTTTTTAATCTATAAAAACGAAAACAGAATATACATTATGAGGTGAGTGTTTATATATAAAAAACGAAAATTATTATACATTTGAGGCTGTAAAAACAATTCAAAGACATTACTTGCCTTCGCGCAAGCCCAATGGATGAGAACTCGATCTGTTCTCATCTTTAAATATTCACAAACTCTTAATGCTAACAAATGATGATGGCGATTTTCAATCTGTCGATTAATGCGTCTTATAATACGTATATATCTAAAATATTTTGGTAAATAAATTATCTTTCATATGTAGACACGAACGGTTTAAAAATAAATAACATTAGCTGTGTATAAGTTATTGGTATTCCAATTTCGAAATATCGTACAGAATTTAGAACCCTCAATATTTGGCACATCTCTACGAAACGATCAGAATTATACGGTTCGAGAAACGTTTTCCCAACCGCTGCCGCTTTGAGCAAACTTCGTTGCCGAACTTGGTTAAACTCGTGACCTGCAGCCTCGATACAAGCATCAACGGCTTCACTAAGTTCAGGACGAATGCTTCGTATATTTTCATCTGCTTTTGGACTTCGTTTCTAAAACAAGATGAATAAAGTATCATTTATGAAATAATGTGATCCAAATTTATCTCCGTTCAGATTTATTTTTGTCTAGATATTATGTTGCATATTTCCTTACGTCAAAATGTTCTAAAGCGTCGAATAACATTGCTGCTGGAGCAGTGGACCTATTTTGAAAGTTTCCTCGGTAACATCTATGGAACAGTAAATGTTTAGCTCACAAAGGTTAAAAGCAGTAAAAAAAAATTTTTATATGGGGTTGAGTCAATAGTAACCAAGCAAATATTTTTTAATAAAATTTTTTATTTTAAACAAGAATAACTTAACAAATATTTAATTAAATTTAATAAAAATTCTTTTAAATTAATTCTACAAGTTTATAAACTTTATTAAAAAATGTTTATCAAATTTCATTAATTTTTGTTAAGTTAATCTTGTTCAAAATTGCGAAAAATTTTATTATAAAAAATTTACTTGATTTATATCGACACACCCCATATATATATCTAAAAAACGTACTTGGAACTTTCTGTAAAAATTCGCATTTGTCACTACTAATTATGCGAACACCATCTATCTCGGGAATTAAAAATATAGAATCATAAGGGTATCTAATCCAATCACCATATGGACCGACCATTAAGAGAAGTTGGTCCCAATATAAAACAACCGAATCAGTACCACACCTACGTACAAAAATTGATTGATTCGTAAGAATTAATTAATTGGCCT